CGACGCGTACCTCAGTCTAGCGCGACACAAAGCGAGTGGAGGTACTACATAGTAAAACTAATTCTTAGCAAAAGCTCAATTTTTGATACAAAATTCGACCTGAATCCAGTGCAGAATGTTCTTCGATGAGGTAGCGGCTGGCATATGGCACAGGTAAGTGCCGACTCGGGTCTGAAGCCGAAAAATCAATAAAATCAAACAACATTTACGAATTTTCAAATTTATTATTTACCCTGTTAAACATTTTCTCCGTGCCATCGATAAAACCGATGTCTAAAGTGCAAACTCCTTGAGCAATTGGCAAGCTGGAAATATCAAGTGTCTAATTATAAGACAATCGATAAAATCAATAAGCGAAAATGGAATTAGAAAAACTGGCTAGTTATCGATCGAAGGATGGAAAAGTCTTTTCTCACCTGCAAAAATAGCTCATAATTTTCTGTATGAATTTCGGAAACATTAGCGGGGCGTTCGGAAGTCTAGCCAGCAGGAACTGAAAATCGATTCGTATTTCAATCATAACCTTTTGCGATTCATTGTGTATAAGTTCTTTGCTGGTTTTGTAGCGCGATGGATAACAGCGCAGTTATCACAGGAGTCATACTAGCCAGCTCACTAGTTCGATCCCTGTCTATCTTATCTGAGACGATAGACTTATTGCAGGGATTCCTGCTCAGGGGCTCTGAGCTTTACCTTGTGACTGTTTTGGTAACCCTCAAAAACAAAATACAACTGACCTTGGCTATATCTATCAATCGATAACCAAATATCCGAAATAGTCCACCAATATGGGATACGGTAGCTACCGGTGCCAGTGCATGAAATTGACGGATCTAAATTGAGCTATACAGTGGAAAAGAGATTATTGATTAAAATTATCGACAAAAATTGAGAGAAGTTGCTTGGCAGAGTCAGAACAGATATCAGGGTTGTCACTTTGAAGGCAGTGATCACGGTGGCTGGAGGGCGGTGCGGTTTCGGTGGCGACGTTGACGTCATTGGTGGAACAGACTTCTCATGGGTACTGGAGGGGTGTACCCCAAGAGGCCCGTCGCGCGGCGAAGGAAGAGACGCAGACGCGACAAAGGACGATAGCGCAGAGCATACTGTAGC